TTCTATCTGAAATACACAATTTTTTTTTGTTTTACATATGTTACTCCACTTACTTAATTTCATGAAATTTCTCAAAAACTCTCTATTTCCTGATTTTTTTTTTATTCGTTAAAAGTAGGACTCCTTGGAGAATGTAAATCACCTATTTTCTTTTCAAACTTGCACTATTCAAACTGAAAACCTACTCTGAATTGAAAAATAATGAATGCAATAAAAATATGATATTATTTAATTAGAAAAGCTTTTAAATGATTTTGTAAATAAGTTATATTAAGGACACTATTGTCTGAAGAAATCAAATTTGTCCGATGAATAATGAATGTTTACAAGAATTTTTTTCATTTTTTAAAAATATTAATTATAATAATTTATAATGGTTTAAAATCGTATAAAATTCTGTATTGGTCTATTTCCTGGATGTAATATAGTAATTAAGTGGAAACGAAATGTACGAATCCAAAATTGAAAAGATTAATAAACGTAGTTAACCTATTCTATTTTAATTTTTTTAATTTTTTACTTACTTTGTTCCCTTTTTCATCTACGAAAGGCTAAAGGTGACATTATTATGAAAAGGTCACGTGATCTAAGAGTTTTGTCGCTTTACAGATAAATTAATTTAAGAAAATGTTATAGTATTTTAATTTTTTTTATTTTTCACAAGCATCTTCAAAAGGTAATAAAAATCAATAAATTATTCGATAATTGCGGAAAATATGTTCATTTGTAAAAATTACTAGGTAGTTAAAAACAATGCGTTCACTTAGATTTCGTAAATTTATTTTCAATTCTGGTCAGCCATACTAGCTATCATCGCTTCATCGCACAATCGTTTATCAATCATCGCCTCAGATAAACAGGAGCAATTAATAACAAATGGTTGTATATTACTTTTTATGCTATAAGTAATATTTATTTCAAATCAGATTAATTTGACTTTAAATTTACTAATTTTACTTGAATATCGTGTCATAAATATATATATATATATATATATATATATATATATATATATATATATATATATATATGTAAAGTTTTAAAATCGATAAATTTGTTTTGTTTACAAATTTCTTAAAATTAAGAAAATAGCCGCTTTTAAGAAAATTTTAAGAAATCGAAAATAAATTTGACATTACAATCTATATAATTTCTATCTGAAATACACAAGAATATTTTACGAACTGGAAATAATAAGTTTAATATTTTAGGTTTCAATTAAAGCTAAAATGAAATCTTCAAGAATGCTTTTTCATTTTTAAAAATTCATTTTAAAAGTTAGGTATCGAAAATTTATGCAGATAATGGCGCGTGAAACAGACAGTTACCACTCTGCGTACCCCCCCAGTGTTCAATATTATATCCCTGGTATAGAGCACGTTTAGTCATAAATATACCATACCTTTTAAAGTATATATATATATATATATATATATATATATATATATATATATATAGTTTCATATGATATATTATTTTGTAGTATAAAATACGTATATCTTGGTCCTTATAAGAAGTTGATTTGTTGAAAACATACACCTTTGTTGATTGCAGGTTCTTTTTTTTTTTTATTCTTCAATAGATTTTATGTTACCGAAGACATTTTATACTTTTCCTTTGGAATTAAACTCATAATCACTCGTCCGTACTACAAACCAGAGAGCTGAACCTGCAAGTATCATGCAAATAAAGATCTAAAGCGAAAAGAAAAGTCGGAGGTCGCTGTTAATACATACGTTTACAGTCTTTGATTCGTCGTCAGCCACTCCGAAATTATGGAGAAGGAAGATATATAATCCCATTAGGCTCAGACGACAGATAGCCCGATCGCATGTCGATGGAAAAGAAGCCGGGAACTAGCAAGGAGATCAAAATACGGACTTTGTCATAAGAACATTAATTTGTCACAGTGTACAATATCGCAGAATGCCTAGAGGTATAATTGATCGCTTGTTCCTTCTACACAGACGTCGACACTTTAAGTACTTCGCGCAGACATCTTGCTAAGGTTAGACACATTATTCGTCTATACGACAGCTTTCTAAGTCCTGAATTTCAAAGAATTTCTCTATTTACTTCTCTCTCTCTCTCTCTCTCTCTTACTGTGTGTGTGTGTGTGTGTGTGTGTGTGTGTGTGTGTGTGTGTGTGTGTGTGTGTGTGTGTGTGTGTGTGTGTGTGTGTGTGGTAATTTCGAAGATGGTAAATTATATGAAGTATTAGGGAAAATGTATGACAAAGTGGAAAAAGTATACTTGTGACACGTTTCGTCTTTCTGGACTTCATCGGACTAAATGTTATTTTGGTAGGTCTATGCAAACGCGCGAACGGGGGATGCTGGGAATTTTAGAATGTTTTGTGTCTTTTATATCTAGCCGAATTCATTTAGATTTTTTTCTTTTTATTTCCATCACTTTTGTTAGTAGGCATCCCACACAGTGATATTAGAAGACCTGCCAGGAATGGTGAAATGGTATAAGAGCGAGGGTGTAAATTTACAGTATATGAATTTGCGTGAATTGCTTTTCTCCTTTGATCACTGTGTCATTTTTATGTCAAAAGTGTGGTCAGTCTTGTTACGGTGGGCAACTAACGCATTTGACATATTATTTCGTAAACTGTCCCTTTTGTCTTCATATACTCTTTTTTAAATTCCTTGAGATTTCTTCTATGTATTTTTTGTGACAATTATTACAGGCGATAGAGTAAATTTCTTCTTCGGTATCCTATAGTATTTTATATGGGAAGTTGTAAATTTGAAGCTATCTTTCTTCATTACGAAAGTACAGCAAGTTTATTTATAATGACAAAAGATAGTTCTTTGTTTTACTGTTTTAGGTCAAAATATAGTCATTGTCTCGCAGCTTAACTACTTTACCTTCATAATCTCTAGATATACAATTTTGTATTTTATACATTATTTTATCGATCTGCCATTATCCTTTGAGGCATATAACCTACATAGTCACAATCTATTTTTGATATCTGAAAAATTTATTGTATTTCTGCTAAAATTTGAATTTCTCGAATCACAGACTCATTGTATTTTGATTCATTTGGGTTCATTTACTTGTACTTTTTCATTTGTTCCAAGCTCTCAACCTGAATATTCCCTAATATTCCATGGATACCTGCTTTATTTTAAAGTATCAAACCATATTCTAAGAATATTATGAGCTTCTTCTATATACGTGGCACCTCTGCTACAAGTTCTTAATTTCATCGTTTATTCTTTTCAGATTAATGGCTTCCGTAGGCCAGTGATATATATGCTTGACCGGCTGATCAGATGATTACTATTCATAACATATTTTTATTTTATTTTTCCTAAAAATAATGCAAATGCTGATTTCGACGTTAAGTTTATATTTTTTCATTTAGAGAAAAAATCATTTCTTAAAATTTATTTAATTATTCCAAACCATGCGTGGAGTAAATTTAATTTCTACTGTAGTTTGCAAAGTGGTTTCTCAGTCTATTTCGCTAGAGAAGTGAATTCCTTCCTTAATTTTGTCGGTTTCAGCCATATTAGTATAAATTTAGTAAATAAACTTTTATATAGGAAATCCTGTTAATTCAAACAAGAATCGAATATTCAATATTAGAGAATCGGATTATGTGCAACTGTTTTATTAAAGCGCGTGTCATCTGAAAATCGAAAGTTCAATAATTATGAGTCGACCCACCACCACCACCGCAAATCAAATGCTTTTTTATCCCGTTGTAATATCCTGCATCAGAGTAATACCTACTTCTTTTGTTTTCAGTGTCCACTAACGTATGGAACTACTATTATTCCTATTCTTATGTTTTCTGAACATGTCTGCACTTTGGAGGTTATTACCATTTACCAGTGGTTAAGAGAATTATGGACATGAGAATTGTTATTATAATAACTTTGGTCTCACTGTTTTTCCATTGATATATTTATCGTGTTATATAATCATCTTCAGAATAATAACTCAGCTTCCAGAAATTTGGTTGAATAAAAAATATCCCCATTGATTTATTAATATCGTGTGAGAATAACGATAATGATAGTGCAGTGGTCCATATTTTTTAAGGTGGTGGGGATAAAAAGTGATTGAGTTGTGCATGAAAGATTTGTGCTACCGGTCAGGAAAAATGTATATTTATAAAGTTATTCTACACCGAGTACTATTATATATAAGAATAAAAACTAAAAGGAAAAGTGTATTTATATTGTCCTTTTTACAGATATAAATAACCTATCTGAATTTTTACACAAACACACTCAGAAACACACAAACATATATATATATATATATATATATGTATGTATGTATGTGTGTGTGTGTGTGTGTGTGTGTGTGTGTGTGTGTGTGTGTGCGGGTGTATGAGAAAACGATATATAAATTTTGATATATAAGAACAGTTTTGAAAGAAAAGACATGACAAATTGGAAAAAAAAAGATTCGTGGAGCGTTTCATCCATTAGGACTTCATCGGACACACATGTATGTGTGTGTATGTGTGTGTATGTGTTTATATATATATATATATATATATATATAGACACAGTACAAACAAACACATATATATATATATATATATATATATATATATATATATATATATATATATATAAACATATGTATGTATATATATATTCAAATATATAATACACACAAACACACACACACACACACAGATAGATAGATAGATAGATAGATAGATAGATAGATAGATAGATAGATAGATAGATAGCCAAATTATCATTATTTGAAAATTGAATCTTAATGATTACGTTTTGCATTTTATAGCAACACACACAAATGTGTATACACATACTCGCAGAATCCATTTATTGAAGGATGCCGTAGAATGACGCGGCAACGATGATTGATTAGTCACATGATTCTAAATCTTCCACTCTGGTTACTTCGGCCGTAGTAAGGTCAATAAGTGCGACATGTAAGTCGCTGTTAAAGTCAATTAGGTTTTGGTGACGGAGCGAACAAAGTGGCGCCATGTTGTTTCGATGGGTGAAAATTCTTCCGTCTGACTTGTGTTAACTGACAAACAGCTGAGAGCAACAAAATCTAATCAAAATCACGAAAATGATGATGTAACTGAACATTTTTTTCTTAAATATCGAACTTATCTTGTTCATATCTACTTTACTCGCAGTTTTCGTCTCAACCATCTTTCTCTATATTTGTTTGTGACGTACAACTAAATTTTTGAACATTAAAGTTTCAGAGAAGTTGAATTTTAACCAGTGCTTATCGTAAAATTATTATTGCTCTTTCAAAAGTCTCCCAAACTCTTAAAGATTTATTAAAAATATAAGCAAATACGTTCTCGACTGTCTCGATGGGGATTGCTGTTATCAAATATCCATGAGAAGATAAAGGGCATGTCATTTGCCCTTTTCAGATAAGACTTGGCGTAGTGGGATCAATATTTAGGATGGCTATAGATGTCTTCATCGGATCAAATACAAAATTATCGCATCATCTAACAAAGACAGCGTAAATACGTGTAAGCTATTAAAGAACAAAGAAAAATTTTGAAAAAATAAGAGAATTATTTTGTATGTTTACATACATCATCTTAAGAAAATTTTAACTACAAAAACTCATGAATTATTGTAAGTTTAAATAAAGTGGAAAATAGTTTTTGATCACTTTTTTATCAGTTGTTTCCTTCTTTCTCTTCCATCTCCCTCTCTTTCTATCTTTCTCTCTCTTTCTCTCTCTCTCTCTCTCTTTCTCGCTTTCTCTCTTCCTCTTCTCTCTTTCTTTCTTCCTATCTCTTTCTTTCTCTCTCTCTTTCCTTCTATCTCTTCCACCTCCCTCTCTTTCTATCTTTCTCTCGCTTTCTCTCTCTTTCTCTCTTTCTCTCTTCCTCTCCCTCTTTCTCTCTTTCTTTCTTCCTATCTCTCTCTTACTCTCTCTCTCTCTCTTTACTTCTATCTCTTCCATCTCCCTCTCTTTCTATCTTTCTCTCTCTTTCTCTTTCTCTTTCTCGCTTTCTCTCTTCCTCTCCTCTCTTTCTTTCTTCCTATCTCTTTCTTTCTCTCTCTCTTTCCTTCTATCTCTTCCACCTCCCTCTCTTTCTATCTTTCTCTCTTTCTCTCTTCCTCTCCCTCTTTCTCTCTTCCTCTCCCTCTTTCTCTCTTTCTTTCTTCTTAACTCTCTCTTTCTCTCTCTCTCTCTTCTATCTCTTCCATCTCCCTCTCTTTCTATCTTTCTCTCGCTTTCTCTCTCTCTTCCTCTCCCACTTTCTTTCTTTCTGTCTTTCTTTCTTCCTATCTCTTTCTTTCTTTCTCTCTCTCTCTTTCACTCTTTATTTTTTATCAAATATTTATTAGGCTTAATTTAGTAAATCACAAATTTAAATGGAAACAAATTAAGGGCATGGTGATTTTCTTAGCCTGGAAAATCTGCACACAAAATAATGGCTTTTAGCTGCAACGCTATCTCTGTTCATCCTTAGAAAACACATAACTCAGTCTGCCACGATGCAAGGCAACTTCCTGTATTCACTTTTTTTTTAGTTTTCTATCCTCTCAGTCCTTTTCTTTCACTATTACTGTCTCTTCCGCTTCCTTCTTCTATACACTCTGTTCTGTATCTCTCTTCTTTTTACTCTTAAAAAAGCTTGTTTTTCTATTGCCTTATTCTTCATTATTTCCAACTGCATTTCTTTTTCTCGATGATATCTAACTACTCACACTCTCAATAGATAGGCCTACACAATACATAGAAGAAAGTAAATAGATTTTTTTTCACTTTTACCTCCCCCTTCTCTTTAACTCAATCTATGAATTTACTAAGATTTTATTTCGATTAATTTATCTATTGTTATGAATTCTCTGGCTACTTAATTAGCGATCAACTTATCAATGTTTTCAAACTTTTAGTCTTCGATTCCATGTCATTTAGCATACTTACACCAATGACACTCACCCCACCCCCATTCACACACAAAATGTATCGATACATAAATAAACGTTGATTAATCCTGCAAATTCCTTGTAGATGACAGAGCCATAGCCGTAAAGAATTGTGTGGTGGCGATTTCAGTAACAAATGAACTTTTATTGTGCAAAGTTGCGATCCACCCACCCAATATGAACAGCTTAATGTAGTTAAAGGATTCTAACCGCCTTACTCTTTAGCTAAGGGTTAAAATAGGTCCATGCCTTTCCCCTTACTCTCATCCCAATTCTATGCAGTTTGAATTGACATAGAATTAATTTACACTTAAATACCATTCGCAATAAACATTTTACATAATCGAATCCTTATCAATGACTGGAATTTGAACTAAAAACCCATAGTTATTCGATCCTGATTAAAACTCTAAACTATTTTCTTTGATTAATATATATAATCTATTATTCGTGTGTGTGCGCGCTCGTGTGTGTGTATGTGTGCATATACAGATATTTATATCTGTGTGTGCATGCGTGCGTTATATCTATATATGTATGTATAGTAATAAATAAAATTCAATATTCACTTATCATATATGTCCTGTATAATCATGTCCCCTGAAGAGTGGATGTAATATCTGCAAAAGTGAGTGTGGACACAGGACAAGTAAATACTTAATCTTATTCATTACTGTTTATGCTCTATTTCTTGAAATAAAGCACTAAAAAGACAGCATGTCTTAAAAAAGTCATCTTCCAGAAATAACCAGGTTGACCTTTTCTGGTTGTTTTTGGCAACACACGTTTTCTGTTTCATATATATATATATATATATATATATATATATATATATATATATATATATATATATATATAAGGGAAGAATTTATGTTTGTTCTATCGAGAGGAAGGTAAAGGTGTATATTTTAAAGAGAGACCGTCATCAGATAAAGAATTGTTATTTCCATATATTATTTAAAGGAATCAATTTTATTCCTTCTTATGTTAAATCTTTTAATCAATGTCTTTTGTACTTAGTAGTAGTCATCTGAATCCATCTTGGACTCGCTGAAAAGTGTTCCTTTTCTTGAAGGGTAATGAAATAATTATATTTAGTCGCAGAAAGAGAAAGTAATGAGGATGCCTTTGTCCTTATCTTTTTATGTCCCCGTATATATATATATATATATATATATATATATATATATATATATATATATATATATATATATTTACACTTTGTATGGCGTGTAGGGTTCGTGTTTGGGCGCGTGTGTGGTCCGTCTAGTGTGTTTTCTTTGACAGTATGTGTGTATATATTCGTTCTCCATACCTATATATTACATAATATATTATTATAAGGAAATCTATATAGTAAATACATGCATTTCGTATAGTATTTGTATGCGTGTTTAGTGTTGGTTTAAATATATCTATGATTTTTTTTTCTTGTATTTGGAGTAATTAAGAGTAATTAAAAGTAATCGCTTGTTTGACATATTGGCATAATTTTAAAGTTACCCTTGTTACATTTGTGGATGTGTTGTGACACAAAGAGTTTTCTATTTTTTGGTAATTTAATGTTACTTTTGTGTCAGGATACGCTGTTGTTTAGTGCTTGAGTGATACCTATTTGTTACATTTTGTGCACCTGAGTGCATAAATTACATTTTTGCAGTTACAGTTTAAGTTTTTCTTTATTGTGAATGTTGTTGCAGGGTTTTAAAAAGTGTAGGAGTTCACTTCTATAATTATATCACAAAACCCACGGCTTTTCTTGTTGCATTTTGTGACCCCTTGTATTGTGTGCTGACTAACTTTGGTTGAGGTTAATATGTACTATTTTTTTTATTAACGTTTGCTTTCAATTATTGTTTTTAGTATATCTTTCGTTTTATCATTTTTGTTAAGTAGGTATAGGTTTATTGTTGTTTCTTTAAATAGCTCTGGATTGTTTTTGTTGTATGTCGATACGTATGCTAGAATTTGTTCGATGTTGCCTTTCTTGGGGTTTCGTAGTTGGTCTAAACGCATTTTTCTACTAGTTCAAAAGCATTGTTTATTAGTGGTGTGGGGTATTCTCGTTTTTTGAGAGTTTTATCTAATTCTTCTAGGCGAGTTTTTCGAAGCTGTTTGTCGGCCATTATATTACAAATCCTACGAGCTAGGGAATAGGGGATGCATTTTAGACAACTTTTTTGGTGATGGATCTTAAAATAAAGATATTTTAGAGTGTTTGTAGGTTCTTGGTAGATATCTGTGATAATATGTTTATTTCTATTTCTGATGAGTATATCTAAGAATGGCAGTTTGTTAAAGTTATGTTTTGGGGTCAATTTAATAGATAGATAGATAGATAGATAGATAATTTACATTTAATAAAACTCAATACCCCTTATGAATGGCCATTTCACCACCTAAAGAAAAATTCCTTACCAAGGCTTTTCAACACAAAAAAAGAGAAAAAACTTTTTTGTGTTGAAAAGCTTCAGTAAGAAATTTTTCCTTAGGAGGTGAAACGGCCATTCATATGGTGTACTGAGTTTCATTAAATGTAAATTATCTATATATTCTCTATAATAAATATATTGAGCTGTCTTTGGGAATTAGTTTTAACATATTTATTTAGGATATACTTGAATTTTTACCAACGGATTTTTGCATATATATATATAGTGGCGACTGAAAAACTGAATTGTTTGAAAAAGTCATAACTTCTTTGTTTTCAGTCTTTTTTATTTTATTTTTATTTTTTTTGCAGGTTTATAGAGCATCCCTTGGAGATTAAAATGGCTACGTATGATGTCCAACAACGAGTAAAAGCCATTGGGTTTTTCTACTCCAATGAAAGATCAATTATTCAAAAATAACGGCAACATTTTAATGTCAGATTATCTCTTAGCAATAATATGATTCAGAGCCTAATCGCCCAGTTCCAAAGAAATGAATCAGTCGCCGATCTTCCGAGAAGAGGTCCTAAGCTCTCTGAACGCACTGATGTAGCCGTGGAAGCTATACAGCAGAGTGTCCTTGAGGATCCATCAGCTTCTACTCGCCGTCATTCTGCTCAGATAGGACCGTCGCTTCAGAAGATTCTGAAACTGTATTTAAAAATGTTTCCATACAAAATTCAAATGGTCTAAACTTTACAACCCCAATCTGTAAAAGTTATTTTTGCTTTATGCTATTCACTTTTTCAGTGACTATCCTGTATATTCAAACAACTTTTATTCAAATCGATAAAGTTCAGCTTGTTTAATGTCTTAATCGATTTTTTTTTAATTTTTTGATAGGTTTTATCAAATACAGATAAAATTTATGACGAAACTGTAAGAAATTGATAATATTTTTTTCAATATGCAATAAATTAGGCGCAAATTACAAAAATTGTTAGAAAGATTAAATAGGCTGACTTGTCAGTCCATTATAATATGAATTCTGTCCATGTCTAAGTTACATACGTATATACAAACAAAAGTATATTATCTGTGGTGTCAAAATGCGCATCTATATATACACACACACACACACACACACACAGAGAGAGAGACAGACAGTTGGTTTCTACCATACAGTATCCACAGGCGATTTTTATCAAATGGCATTTTTACTTTTTTTTAAAAAACTAAAGAATGCTACATTATTTTCAAAAATAAATAAACGCATGACGTTGGGTGTAATAGAAAGGGAGGAGGAAGATGTGAAGAAAGATGAAGAAAGAGAATTTAATTTCGCTCATGCGTGTTTTTTTGTTTTTTTTGTCGACTGCACAGTAGGGCCAGTTGACCACCATCTGTGAGAAAAAGAGCACCATGACGCATTTCACTTCGCCAGAAATTTGGAAACGGCATGCTGTGCTACTTAGCATTCGCGTCGGAATCTCCAATACCAACATTTCAGAATGTTTGGCCCTCAATCTGAGGACAGTGCAAACGATTCGGAAAGACTTGAATGAGTCTAATGGTGATTAAGATAAGGCAGCTCAGAAAACTGACTCTGATTGCTCTGATAAGAAAGGCACTCCCGAATTTGTGGTGAGGGCCTCATATTAAATATGGGAGCCAACATCAAGTGCCTTGAGGAGGTAATGCTGCCCTGAGTCAAGAGGGTGGCTGCTGGAAGACCTTATATCTGGCAACACTACTTTGCCGCATGCCACACAAGCAGTAGAACCCAGTCATCGTTGCTAGACAATTTCTCCGACTACACCACCCATTACATCTGGCCACCTAACTCCCCAGACTGCAACCCACTTGATTATTATGTATGGAGCGCAGTTGTGCAAGAGTCCAATAAAACTCCTTGTAATACCAAAGATGAACGGAAGGCAAAGATTATGGCAGCATTCATCAACTTAAACAGGAGACCGCCCAGAAGAATTGCAGGAGATCCTGGAGGCGTATAGAGGCCAATTGCGATTTTATTGAATGAATTTACTCCTTATTATTTCAGGATATTGTTGTGCAATTTCGGTAAATATATCTGTTAAAATGAAGTCAGTATTATTTTCGTTTTATGTAATTTAGACGACAATTTATCCATCGCACCATATATATATATATATATATATATATATATATATATATATATATATATATATATATATATATGGGATTGAGGAATATTGCGATTGAGGAATCTAAATGAAATAATAAAAAAAAAAACGAAAGAATAATCTACAACCGTGTGTCTGAAGATTTAAATTTTTTAAAATATTTTTATTATTCAATATATATATATATATATATATATATATATATATATACGTTTATGTATGTATTGCACTTT